TAAATACACATGGAACACACACACACATATTGAAGACAGATGCTTGAAGTCAAGTTAGGCCTTCATGCTGAATTTCCAAAATGCCATCCTTTCTTATCCATTCTTCGATGGCACAGACCAAATTCTACTTCTCTTGTGATGCCCTCCTCAGTCTTCTGTGCCACTGAAGCAGCCCTAACTGCATTCAGTTCCAGTGCTATTGAGTTCCAGTGGGTATAACCTATTCCCTCATCTATATTTTAAGGGGTTCCAGGAATTTTCTGTCTCCGTGAGCACTAGCATATTGCTGTACCTATTATGGCTCCTTGATATGTGTTGGAAGGATGCCTAAAAGCCCTACCCTGTACATCATGCAAATATCAACAGCACGTACTAGGAATCAGCAAGCTAAGACCCTGGAGAACAGACAGCTCTACGCGGAGCCAGGTTCCCTAATGCAATTTAGCCGGTCATGTTACAGAGTCAGTCTTAAGACAGGTGTACTTCTTGCTCGTGCATTTAAGAAACTGAAAACAAGTGCTATGGTGTTGAGCTTCCCCAATTCGGCACCTTCTACAAATATCACTGAAGGATAAGGGCTGTTCTCACCTTCTTTATTTATGTGATCTGATCCATATTACACAGAGGAAACTTATGATACGAGATTATGAACGCCAAAAAATAACGTGAGCCTGGGGTTAGAACTCACTTTCTCCAAGGTGCGCTGGGCATTGAGTACTTCGATACCAATATGAAAAACCATGCTGTTTTCTTTTCCAAGAAACACAAACTATTTAATTGGATATGTACTTTAAAAAGGAGAAAAACTCATTTAGAAATGACCTACTTCATTCTTATGAAAGGATTTTAAAATGTGTTTCAGAATTTGGCCCTAGAGCTATTCATTTCTTAGTCTAAGGTGATTTTAATTTTTTAATTTCTGACAGTCGCGTGTTACAAGTGTGACCTACAGATTGAACTCCTCTCGGCCTGAATTTTATATTTAAGCTGCTCAGGGTGTTTAAAACCAAGAGCTGAGAATTTCCTATGGTACTTCTCATCAAGCACCTAACTCAGGGGCACAACCAGGCAGAAATAATACAATAGCCACATTAACTAGGGAGGGAAACACAAAATATTTTCCTAAGATGATTGAGACAGGGGTGAAAGCTAACAACAAACACAAAAACAGGAACTTTTATGTACACCTAATACATAAAATCAACTAATTTCAAAGAAAGTTTGAAACAAACAAACGACGCCCCCTTCGCCGCTACCCAGGGCAGTAGATTTTTCTTTGATTCTGGTTCCTCTGAAAGGAATCTGCGTGAAGGACTCCTCCCCTGGGTGACAGCTGGCTGTCTCCCTGTATCTTAGCAGAGGATGCCAGAGACAATTTAAATTATTCACTTTGCTTTTCCGTATTACAGCATATATCTTCATGAATGTAACCACACGGACAACTTGATATTAAAAAAAAAAAAGGAGTGGGGACCTTCCAGTAAACAATAGTTGAAACAGAAATATATGGTCAGAAGATCAACGTACATGAAAGAGAACAGAGACACCACAGAATCTTAGGGGAAAGAGCGCAGTGGGGCTCTGTGTGGCTCCCATTCTAATTCCACCCCTCAAATGGTTTCTTATTTAGAAAGAGATTCTAATGACATTAATGGCTGAATAGTTATAAGGCCAGAACAATGTTGACATGGCAAATTGACATCAAATATTCCACTCGGTACTCTAGAGCCTGCCAAAATCTTCTGAGGATGAAGATACCTTTAGATGTAGCCTTCACGTGTAAGTCAGGACACCTCCCTACGCAGAATGGATGGGACACAGAGATGCCCTGCCCTGCCCACCCACCACCGTCTGTGATTCTGGATGGGGAGCATCGAGTCCGACGGGGCTTACAATTCCTCTTTTTCAAGGGTCCCCAGGATAAAGTTTAATATGTTTGGAAGGAGTCAAGTGGCTTGGAGCTCAATGAAGGCCTGCCTCCCTAACAGGGGGAACAATTCGATTATTCTGGTTATGGAAGATAAAAGATAGCACTGGAACACTTCCTTCCAGAGAAATCAGAAATCAACTATGACCCTCTGAGTTTAAAGATATTTTTCTATTGCATTTGTTCATTGTTCTGGTAATGAAATTCTGACCTAGGGAATGGGTTTCAGTTACTGCATTTGACTGGGAGAAAAGAAACAGGTGACTGTGGACTTCCTCTTTCTCTCTCTCTCTTTTTTTTAAGCTAGGGCTTTATGTTACTGTCACTAGATTTAGCTGTTGAAGCTTTTAAGGCTAATGGTGGCTGTAATGCACCAAACACTACAAGTACAAGAGAGAATAAGAGTGGAAATTAATTTAGCTCTCCATTTGTCAAGATGCAGTCTGCAAGAGTTTTTAGGAGCCAATCTAAATCCAGGGGATAGCCTGGACCTTTAAATTGGGACACAGAATCATTCAGCTCCATAACCTTTAATCTGTTTGAAGAAAGGAGCAAATGTTAAATTCCACAAGTGTACTTTCTGGGCAAGATAAATATATATAAGATGGCTTGTTAAGACACAGTAAGCCTGGAAGATCACATCCATTAAGGCAACGGATTGGACAAGGTTGTTTCGGTGGCAATTTCAGTTTAACTACTGTTGGGTGTGCCAGTGAGAATCTGGGCGTTCATCACTGCAAATGCATTCTGGGTGTTGAGAGGGCTCGACAGCTCACATCAAGAGGCCAAAGGGCATCCATGAGATCATCTCACATTACCTTGAGCTGAGATGCCAGGAGGAGAGAAATAGGGGCAGACAAGTCCCTACAGATGTACCTGTGGTGTGGACAGAAATATAGCACTGTTTGTTTTTATAATTTCCTCTTAAACCGAGTCTCCACGGTCAGAACTCTGATAACAGCGAGTCGTAGCTGTTGGAGGACACGAGATTAGCTTTAGTCTGGAGTGAAAGATTAAGAGCTGTGAACTGAGGCGCCTCTGCTGAGCTGCTGAGATTGACTGTGAAGGGAGAGGAGGTCAGGAAGTGTTAAGAAAGGTCCTTAGAAAAAAAAAAACCTAAGCTAGTGAGAGGCCAGCCAAAATGAAAAGCGCTGTTCCGTATTAAAGAGAAACGTGGCATTTTATATCGAATGAATAAAGGACTCGATTGGCTTCAAGTGGAAACCTGGCTAGCGAGCTGCACAGATGGAACCTTCTACAAGGAGAGGTAATAAAGTCAGGCTCACACCCGGGCAACTTCTGCAAAGACAAAACAGACTACTGAAGGGTTTTCTTAGAGGGTTTGCATGTGCAGGGCAGTGGTGAGTGGGGTGATGTAATTTACACCGACATTCAAAGGACCATTCACAGGAAACTTTTCGGAAACCCGGTAACAGGAGCTCAAGCCTAATTTGTTTTACCACCTGAATAAGACAGAAGACATCCTCAGAGGTAAATCCCTGGTTCATGGCCTGGACAGTTGTGACTGTGGTCACTGTGGACATCAGCGTGAGGAAGAAGTGTCTTCGCTGTGCTTATTAACAATACAGAAAGTGGGAGGAGTCGATACTAACAAACTGAGTTTACTTACGAAGCGGAAGGAACTAACAGAAAGCTAAACCGGAAATACACACAGACAAGACTTCAGGAAGCAGCCTGGATGGAGCTGAGTTTAGAGACACACAGACCAATTGATGGATTTTCAGAAGGTTTTGAATGAAGTATAGGCACTGATGTTTGCACAAACACCGTTCAGAACAATCCCTACTAGCGGCTTACTCAACAGGTCTCTTGGTTCCACTGTCATGGTTAGAAAGGTAAAGAAAACTGAAATTAGACAATCTATTGTTCTACTTCAGAAACTGACGAGGACTGCTCTTTCACTGAACACTCTGAATTTACGTCATGACTATCTTACTGACTCCTGTGAACACTCGTGCCCCAGAAAGTCAACGTAAAGGATGGCTGCTGTATCTAGGGTGGTAAAGAGGATGATGATGAGTCAAATATGCAGTGTTTTTAAGAAGTCCAGTGACGGGACTGCACACTATGGCACATGGCTCAGAGGGACCTTGCAGTCACGGGTGATAACAAGATAAAACAGAAGTTATTTTTTAGATTTTTTTTTCTCATTGAATAATTACTTTTTCGTGTTTCTGTGGTAGGGCATCTGTAGACAGTGGATGGGCAAGGCCTTACCTAAGGAAACCTCGCAATCTAGTTGACATGATGCAGCCATGATCTTCCCCACCTCGGGAGGCAGAGAAAACTCCAAGGCTCCCAGACAAGCAACGTCAAGCAATAGGAGAGCTGCTGGGTACCAGGGAGGGGCTGGAGGGCACTCCTCCTCCCTCAGTGATGATCAGAAATAGGAGACGCTGAAACTCATTTTGCATAATAAGAGTTTCAGACAGTCCAAAGGGCTAACCCACAGAGTTACAACCGCTGTGGCTGCCTCTGCCACTCCTCCAACCTTTAACTGAGGGCTGCGAGGAGTATGTGGGTGCCTGGCATGGAAAAGGCAGTGATTCCGTCCGATCTCCTGTGATGACCCAGGCGACACGCTGTCAGCCAGGACTCTCCAGGGCTGGAAGGAGGATGCACTTAGGAACACGGCCCACGTGGGCCTGTGGAAGGTGTGTATTTTCCTTCATGTAGATCAAGATGAAATTCAGACAAGGAGAAGCTCCAAAGCCAGAATACTTACCATTTTGTCAACCACGATAAACATGAGCTATCCGCGTGTGTCTAACAGCCGGGCTGCCATTTTCTCTAGCATTTTGCTTTGAATGGGGATGCTAACCAAAGAATTCTGCAAAATATCTGCTCTACTCTTAAATGTTTGGATGTTAAAGGTTTTCTGAGGTCCCTCAGTTCAACGGGAGAACATAGTACCTAATGTCTTTGAAGTTCCGAAATAAAGGAACAGTGGAAGTCCAAGGACTCAAAGGGAACTTCTTAGGCTCCCTTCTCATACATACCAGAAAGACAATACACATTCAGGACATTTCCAATGGCAATGAAGGTACCATACCTGTGATGATGGTAAGGATGGTGGTGGAGGTGGTGGTGGTGGTGGTGGTGGTGGTTGTTGTGGGAGGAGGGATAGTTGTGGGGGGATCTGGAATAAAAAAAAAAGGAAAATCAAACCCACAATGCTGAACACAACAATGAGCAGTAATGACGAAACAGAGGCATGAAGACACTGAGATGTTTGTTTGATGACTTCCCCCTTTAAAACCAAAAGTTTTCTCCCCCCCTACTCAACAAAGGTTTATGTCTTGTAGTTCTACCCCAAAGCTTTATTTGGAAGAGCTAAGGAAAGAAGAAAGGAGGTCTGTATTAACGAAGTGAATTAGGGATGGGGAGATGTAGAGATGCAAGGAAAAACCAATACATGGGACACGCCTCCACCCCCATGCGATTTCAAAGGTGAGGTCAGACCAACTCGGCACCCGAGAGGGTATGATGGTTGTCACTCTGTTTTATATGTTTACCGGTGGGAGAGAGGAGATGGCGCTGCTCTATCTAAAGGGCTCCTATCGGCCAAGGAAGAAAGTGCTCTTGCCTCTTGCTCTCTGACTGTTAACTTCATTATTCTCCATCAATACATCCCAGCAGGAAGTAAAACTACTTCTATACTTGTAATAAATACAAAGAAGAGAGAATGTCACTGCTAAATATCAAGTTCCAGGCGTGTGAGATTTTACTGAGATTTTCGTTTTTAAAAGTCAATAAATTGTACAACTCATAAATATTAATGAGTTAGTTGCCTTTGCTCAAGCCTGACCTAGGTGGATGACAGTGATAATACTGAAGGAACGTTTTCCATCTTGTAAACCAGAGAACTAAATAGAAACCAGGCTTGACCCTCAAAGCCAGGAATCCGATAGGGAACCCTCTGTCAGGTGTGTAGGATACCCTGTATATTCTTCTCTCATCTCAAAAATTACTGGGGGGAAAAAGGGAAGGCAAATATGAAAGAGGAAAAAAAATCCTAAGCCCAAATGATCAAACCGAATGTGTTAAATTGTCAGCAAGACTTTGAACTAAGCAATCATTCTGCTACAATGCAGCATACGATGATTTGAAGGCTTTTGATTTTAAATTTTGTCTAAAGCACATCAACTTTTTCTCCCTGACACATCTGGTGTCCTTTTATCTCCAAGTGAGCTCTCAGATTGTCTAATTAATACATCCAAACTTTAATTATACACTGTACCTTTACTGGGTTTGGCACAGCTTCCGGGAAGTTTACGACATTATTCACTGGAGCTTGGTAGATAAGGTCTGCTTAAAAGATTCCTACCACTGATCAGTAATCTGAGTTTTGAATTTTCCCCACAAACTTCTCTTATACATATACAATTGTATGCATTTGATAGGGAAAAATCAACAGCAAACTGGTCTCTTTTAGGGGAGACTCTTGATTTAAGCTGGGGATGTAAGCAGTTTAAACTACTATTTAAAGCAGCCTCACCCATGAGTCCAAAACGGAATCCATTAAAAAAAAAAACTTATTCTCCTCCAAGAAGTAGATGTGATTAAATTAGTAAGTTCAAACTATCTTGTTTGATGAAGAATGGGCAGTATGCTCCCGTCTTGCTCCTTGGATGCCATTTTATGGAGGCCACAGGTGGGGAAGCAGGCTTGCTGCAGGTGGGGACACAGGTGAGCGAGGGCACTGGCCCCTGAAGACATCCCGCTCCCTCCACTCCCCAGCTCAGCGGTCCCCAGGAATGAGGCTGCTGCTCAGCACATGGGCCACTAGCGTGGTTTTTCTCTTCTGGTTCACTTACAATCCTTATCACTGAAAAGGAATGTCTGGACCTGGGAGACTTCCCCTGATACACTATAATGCCATTTCTGTACCAATTTCTAAGTATTGGTCCAAACTGTGTGATGTCCACGATACCATCAAAGTGCACCTGAAGGTGATTTGAAATTATGATGATGAATAAGGGGGAGACTAACCAGGGCAGAGACTTCAGGAAAAAGGTCACTAGTCCCTTTCATTTTGTGAAAATCACAGACTTTCAATTATTTTCATCACGACCAGCTTATCTTGTCCTTCACATGTGGCTCAAGTGAACTAAATGAGTTAGATTTTGTTACCAGGTAGAACCTCAATGCTTAGATCATTTCTAGCAATAAGAGGCATGTGAGGTCGCCAGTTAAGAAAATAAGAGTCAAAGCTCATAAGCTGTGTTTGACACAGAGGCTAAAAGAACAAAACCAACGGGGGCTCAGGCACTAACCAGAGATTCCCCAAGTATAGAAATTACTTCCAGAGAAATTAAACATTTTAAAGGCATGTTAACTCTTAGTTCGTAAAGAACTTTGAAAGCTGCTGCTGAAGTCTAATGAATTGGCTTTGAAAAGAAAACCTACTCAGCACCTTCTCAAATTGCGAGAATATTTTATCAATAGACTAGCAAAACCTCAGGTTAGTAGTCTAGCCTGCCATCGCAAGCATTACTGCTAACACAGATCAAGGGAGCGAGGCTGTATATCGTGGATCCAGCAAGCCCCTACCAGGCACAGCGTACCATCTTGGGTTGGGGAGATATGTGTATGCACATGTTTCTTGGCTTTCAAATAATGCACAGTGGCCCCATGAGTTAATTCCAAAAGAACAGTCTTGTATTGGAGGGAACTGTTCTATGGAGAAGCAGTGAAAAGAAAAGGAACTACAAGAGAAAACACACCTTTCTCTGTAGATTCTGGAGTCAAAGTATCTTGGCTCTGGAACATATTTAGTAACCTTGGGAACTTGGGACCTTTCTAAGCTTCCTTCTGTCATCTGTAAAATGGGCTGATGATAATGCTTGCCTCATGGAGATGAGAGGAGATCATGCATGGAATGAAGTGAGCGAGCTCTCAGTAGATGCTAGCCAGAAGCTAGGATCCAAAATTATTCAAATATATCTGTCCATCAAATCCACAAAATGTTTCTCATCTTGAGATGTCGGACCAGGAGTTACAACAAATCAAAATTGTTTTTCCAGGTAACTTAGCTTTCTGAATCAAGGAAGCATATAATAGACTGGCAGAAATTTGTCACTGCTTTTTATAATCTGCTGTTTGTAAAAAGCGCTGAATGGAAGCCTGTAAACTTGGATAATAGCAATGTAGGGGCCTCACATGGAACTCAAACCCTGATGTTAAGAGAGCAGGAGGGACGTAGGAGCAAAAGGGCTGAGAACGGGGCACACAGCACCTCCTCGCACCTACACAGATGGCCATTCCCTCACTCTGATCTCCTTAACAACTGGGGAGAATGATTGCTATTATGTGTAGACCACAGATGACAAGGGAAGTGTGCAAAGAACACACCTCAGATGTCTACACACAAAGTGATTAGACGTGAGTCTTTAATTTTGCATTATGCTAAGGAAAAGTAAAACCCAGGTATAGGCTAAGGATTATATTTTCATATCCATGTAGATATGGTATAAAGCATGCTTCCATTTCATCAGTAAAATTGCTATTCCTATTTTTTTCACAGGGAAAGTGGCCAGGTTCTAAGATGTTATGGTATAAGTACCCCATGTATACGTTTATGTGTGTGTATATATGTGCAGAGTCACATACAATTGTACTTGGATCATTTACACTGCTAACATGAGGAAAGAAATGCACACACGTTCATAGATTTACAAGATACTGAAACTGTCATGCCTCCAGTTACTCATTCTGTGTCATGTCAGCTCATGACTATTTTTCCTGGCGTGAAACTAACTAAGAGATTCAATTGGACAGAAGAGACTCAATTTATCATCATAAGGCTACAGAGGCAGTGCACCCCTCCACTAAATAGAGAATATTTACCAGACACAAAATAGACAGTATGCTATAAATGGGAAATCAGTTTAAAATGGCTGGCCCAAATAGATGCACAATACATATCTGTTGATAAGAGAGTGCAATTCATGATAATGTGCTTTAATAATCTGTAAAAAGATACCAGGAAAACAGACAAATTAAAAAAAAAGCCCTTTTGTCTAAAGCAGCAGCTAGAGGTGTTTAACGTAGCTACCAAGGATGTTATATTTTTTCCAAGTATTTACTGGCTTGCAACATCTGGAATGTAATAGCTTCACGCTGAAAATAGGATAGTTCTGCTCATCAAAGCAGGAGAAAGGCTGGCCCAGGTATCATCGGAAATACCACTGGGGATAGACTTTCTGAGCTGAAAAGCCATTAATTGGTAAGGCGGAATTTCGCAGTCATTATTTCTCACATAATCTCCATAGCCGGGGCCTGAGGACAGAGCTGTCCTACTCAGCGTGACCTCCGGGATCTCGTGGGGAATCCCCACGACTAGAGGGGGAGAAGGAAAGGCGCTGTCCTCCGGGTGGAGGTGCTGAACGCCACCTCAGGCCAGGCTCGTTTCATCGCTGGAGGAAGCAAACTGGTATTTTTGGTTTTCAACTTGACCAAAAGCTCTGGGCATGAATCACCAGCAGCAGCTACATCGTGAATGAGCTGAATGGAAGAGGGCTTCACCTTCTCACGTACCGTATACATACAGCATATAATCCGAATGAGCTTTCCCCACTATGTTGGAAGCCTCACAGCGGTAGGTACCATTATCTGTTTTGTTTAGGTTATTGATGAACAGGTTAGGCCCCGACAGGACGGCGTGTTGAGGCATTTCATCATCGACTCTCACCCAAGTTACCATCAACGGCCTGCAGAGGAGAGGGAGAGAGATCGGCAGCATTATTATTTCCCACCAAGACGTCTGCGTCAAACTTCTCACCCACTCAGTAAATGAATCACATGCAGGGTGACACAATTAAAGAGGACCGACTGGAGATATTTTAAGTTCACAGAATTACAACTGTGAAGGCGCCACAAATCTGTTTGGAATATCATTAAAAAAAAACATTATCAGGTGTTGAAAAACTTTCAACAGACCACAAGCAGGAATCTCATTATTTCCAATTCATTTTCAACAAGTCAGCAAATAAACCAATGTACCCTATTTTTATGCCCTGCTGTGTCGCTTCACACCAATTCAGACAGGACAGAGCTCACCTATTGTTAATCATCTCATTAATTAGGGGGAAAAAATCAAATCCTTGGCTAGTGATTCATGCATTAATCTCATGGTTACTAACACACCAAGATCCTTGCTTAGAAAGCCACTTGTGATATTTAAGTGGATTTCAAGTTTTGCAAAAAAGGAATGGACTTTACATCTGAATAGTGTTTTCTCTGGCCTCTGCTGTTTGAAAAATCACCTCTTTTCATTCTGGAAAGATGCAATCACTTCCTCTCCCCTTATCCCTTACCCATAACCCCACCTCTTCCAGCTCAAGATGCCACCGTATCCTCTGATGCCCCAACCCACTTAATCTATATGTTCCTTGGCAAAATACCTTCCTTCCCTGTCTCTCCAAGGTCCGTAGGCCATTCCCCCTTTCCCCTGTGTGTGCACCTGCCGGCCCTCAGTTCGAGGGACCAGCTCTCAGGGTAATGGCTGTGGAGTGACTGCACCTCCACGTGGACTTCTAGGGTCCTACGGCACTTGCTTATCAGAAAGGAGTTTGTTTTAGCGATTTAAAGGCCATGTTTGTATCCATCATGAAAAAGTGAATTTCATAAGATGCTCCAGTGCCCAAACTGCATGCCACACACAGGATCTTTTCAAACTCACTGAATTTCTAATTTTAGCTCTTCAGGGAGGCTCCTTCAATCCACTATGGAATCGAGGCCACCTAGGACTAGGCCTGAACATTTCCTTTCGAAAGGAAGGGCCACAGAGATGCCAGCGTAAAAGTAGCTTCCCTTAGGAACCGTGTTGTGACCCAAGACTCCTACTTCAATAAAGAACGGATACTCAACAGAGCCCTGTCAAGTAGCATTCCAGTTTTCAAATGGGACGTGAAGTCACAATTTTTCTTTAATTACACATGGGTTTGTCACAACCCAGTAAATTATTTAAAAATTAGTCCTGCAAACGTCCGCCTTGCAGGCAATGGCTAACAGGACCACCGGCAGTCAGACCTCTGGTCCTGCCGCTTGACAGCTGAAACCATCAGTGGGGGTAAGTGCTGAGAATATTCACCACATTTAATGGCATGTTAAATTACCAGTTTTATTGTATGCAATTTCTTGAGAAAATAAATAGGTGATATGCTAGAAGGCCGAGTACCATGTGTTGCTCATACGACCAGGGACCCGGTCCTATTTGAGAGGAACAAACAAATACTCTCTCTGGCATAAATGTCCTGAAGGAAACATGTAATTTACTGGCCCCACGGCACATTCAATTGAACACAGTACCTTCTTCAGAGGGAAAAAAAAAAGCACAGAAACAAAATATAGGTTAGCAAGCCACAGTCTGTAAATGTGGTTTATGTGGCTGAATGTGCTGTTGCATGTGGCAAGGGGATGGCGAGAGGTTTTTTTTTGCCACCGTATTGTTTTGAAGGGAAGAGGCTAACAGGGGTGGAATTCAAACAGGTTACACAAAGAAAGAGCTGAGTCTTTTGCAGAGTTCAAAAGAGAAGACGGCTCTGCTAAAGCTGGAAGCGCTCAAAATCAAGTCACTTGGAAACACCCGAGGAAAAACAAAGCAGAACCGAGACCACCTCCTCTTTCCCAAAGGTGATCTTTACAGCTCTGAATGGTTAGTATAGAGAGAAGCAAATTCTTGCCCCTGGAGAAGTGCGCACAAGGTAGGGAGGGCTGATGTGGGAAGAGAGCCCACGGCAGCCAGGCTCCCTGCGGCTCTGTGTTCCCCGTCACCGAGCATCGCTTAGCTGTAATAGGGAGAATTCTTTCCAAAGACTTTGGGGAAGCTTTGTTAATATGCTCCGGGGTCCTTGTATGAAAACTGTGATAAGGATGCTGGTTAGCAAAACTCTGAGAGGGGAAAAAAAAAAAATCACAGCACAGGGACAGCAGAGGGAGCTCAATGCTGTTTTTTGTTGGGGCCACTAGGAGTCTGAGTGCTCCCAATGCCCACACGGACCTGTGGTTCCATGTGATGCGTCCACGGATTGTTTTTTTCCCTCAGAAACAGGTAAAAACACTTTTCACTCATATTAGAAAGATGAAAGGATTCCCTCTTCCTCCCCAGACTAAACTGAATAATAGCTAACGTGGTACCACCACGTGGCTTGGGCGCTGTCTTATGGAGATAACATATGTGGTTTCCCTAATTCGCTCTCATTCATTTAGCAGGAGCAAGTGAATTAGCTTTTTCATACTTGTCAATAAAATAAACAGTGTTTCAATAAAATAAGATTCAGTTCTTTTCTCTTATGCAGTAGTATGTATATATTCCTTGAGAAAAATTCCCGAACCATTCCTTACTAATGAAAATATTTCTAGGAGTCAATTTTCCTTGAGAGAAGAGGAAAAATGAAAGTCAGGGCAAATTCATTGGCCTACAGCTGGCCCTAAACACAGTGGCTTAATTTAAGCCTGAAAACCATCTTTCCAGCAGCTTAGACATTAACACAGAAGGTAGCAGATATATCATTAGACTGTGGGCCCGCTAAAAATTTATTAGGATTATTTTGTGTGTGTGAGAGAAAACAGTGCTGACAATCATGTTGATGATAATAAAATAGAATTAGCTGAGATTTCAATCTGAGCTGGCATTTCATTTTTCTCCTGATCCTCACCCTTGAGGACCAGAGATTATTCGTTCCCCTTTTCATGGGATATTCTTTTATTTTCTGAAAACGCTTCCATCCTTGACAGCAGGAGACAGGTGACAAGCCAATGAGTTGTGAATGCACATCTCTGTGTTGTGACATTTACTGCTCACGACCCTCTGCCAACCTTGGCCTTCGGAACTTACTGGGGCTTCCCGATGGCTTCACATGTTAACTCAAGCGCGTCCCCTTCCCGGGTTAGGCCTTGTAGAGGATAAGTCATCTGAATATGCACTTGAGGCTTATCTGTGTGACAACAACACAAAGTATAATGTTTAGCAAATGATATCATCAGGCAGAACCAGACGCGCGCGCTGTCACAAACCCCACACCGGCAGCACTCACTCTCCCCCCATCCTCCTGCCTTCAGTAACATCCTTCTAATTAGTTAGTAATCCTGGCATTTGCTCAAATTAAATTGACTAATAACTCTAAGGAGCGAACCACGAATAGATAAGAGATTCATAAGCCAACTGTGCCACATCAAACATTTCCTGTGAAATACATTTTGTTACATTGAAGTTTATCTCCAGACTCACTCAAGCTAAAGGAAACTCATTTGCCTTCATGCTGAGGTGAAGCCACAGATATTTGTGGTGCTCAGAATTGATACATTTTAGCACAGATCCTATACTACTATGTGACAATATGTTGTGACACTGCATATTAATAAGTTTGCCTCTTCTGTGCTCTTGTGTTCCAGTGGGAGAGGCAAAACTCCTGAATTCCACTCAAATGGCTCCAAGAATAAAGAACTGGGAGGTTCTGGATGCCTTTAATGAAACTCCATGATGTCAAAATGTAAACATAGAAGAAGGAAGGAAACTGACAGTTACTGAGAGTCGACTATCGACTATCGTCGCAATCATCACTGGTGGTGGAAGGAGCCTAGTTATAAGGATGAGAACATTGGGACCCAGAGAATGATGTAGGTCGTCCAAGGTCACAGAGATAACATAGAGAGACAGCCCCATGAAATGTATGTCGGGAGGGATTTCTGATTCAAAACCACATTTCCCAATGGCAATTCATAATTAAAACCAAGAATACCAAGTATGGCTTCCTAATGCAGCAAAGTACTTAGGTATTCCTAAGTGATGTATTCCTCAGTGTAAGTGAATATCTTAGCGATGGAGATCTTATTTCCACTCTCTATTTAAAAATTGTGTTTGTGAGTTTGTGGGGGTGTGGGAATGAAAGAGGAAGGCTAGGAGGTACAGGGGTTGGGGGGGCTGGAATTAACTAAGATGCACACACAAATACATTTATAAATAAAACCTCAATGGAATTGGGAGATTTTTTTTTCTCCTCTGCTGAACTAACAAGCTATCAGTCCCTAAATCAGTTTTCTCAGTTAATTCTGCGGCTCTGTAAATGTATATTTTTTGGAAAGGTACCCAAGAGGTAATAAAGTTGAAAGGGCAGGACGTCAGTTGGCTGAAAGGTCAAAGTAATTTCCATAACTTTACTTTCTCGGACAATCCCACCCCCTAAACAATAGCCCCTTGGCCTTTCACAAGCAGTGGTTAGTTCATTAAATATATTCACCCTATGAAAAAAGTGAGCAAAGAGAGATACGGATTCACCCCACGGAATAACGGAGCAAAAAGAAATTTGGCAGGGCTCAGCGATCTCAACCTGTACACTGCCAAATAAGTTGCACAAGGTCCTCTCTAGGGACAGCTGCTTTCTGGATGTATTTTTATAGTCGTGTTCCTAGCACTGGAGCTTCCTCTTATGTCTCTGAAAACCACGTGGCATTCAAAACCTTTTAAGAGAGGCTTCTTGCACATCAGTGTGCACTGCACACTGAATTGGTGATGCTTTCTACGGAGTTAAGTCACTTGCCAGAGAACATAAGTTAACAGGCCCGACAGCTCCAGCTGACCCCTGCAAGTATTCTTGGACTTGTGGACAAAGGAAATGTCTAAGAGCAAGATGGCATGGGGGTCTCCAGATACTGATAACTGGGTTGGGAAGGAGGTCGTTAAAAAGAGGCAGAGATGCTCGTAAAGGGTAGACAGGATGATCTTGCATGAGAGCTGGCTGCTGGCCTAGAGCTGCAGACGCTCTCGTTGGCTGAATACAACCACTGGGTGACATTCACGGGTCTGTTTTTTTTTTTTGGTGGTATAACACACATGCACACAGAGCTGATTGGTAAAGTTTAAAAGATACCCCAAAAGGTACAAAATAAATAAATACGTAAATAAAAGGTAAAGGTTATGCCACTGAAGATGCAGACAACAAAACACTGGCTCCCTTAGAGTTCCTACCCAGAAAAAGCAGCACTTAGGAGTTCCTGGTGAGTGGAACCTCTGTCGCTCTTACCCAGGGAACCGTTCTGGGCGAGGCTAGATTTAAAGCCCCAGATTTGGGCTGAAATGTAACATTTGCTTATAGGTTAATCTCTGATCCACGGAAGGTCTGCATTTTCCATGCACTGCTGACTTCGACCCATTAACTAAGGGGAAGCAGAATGCTTGCTGGTCTATGTAGAAGGCTTTTTGGTCCTTTTTTTTCTTTGTGTAATTTACAAGCAAACAGAGAGAGTGTATTTTTCAGCATAGCTCACTAAGGGTTTTTTCATGCTCAACTTCCATTAATAATAAAGACAGTGCTGAAAATCTATCCGCCCTGCCTTTTCAGTACCACTGAGTTTGTTTTAGTTAAATGCTTTTCACGTTCCTAATGGCTATTTACCAGTTGTCAATTACTCACATAAATTGGGAAGAATAAGCGAAGGGTTTGCTGTACCTGGAATTTACGTTAAAAAAAAAATCATATCCTGAGCCATAGGAAATACACCCTCAATTTTGATAACTGATTTTCCCAATTTACTCTTTCGGTTTCTGGAGAAACATCTACCATCTACTTATGGGTACAGCTGCCACAGTTACCTTAATAGCTGGCTGGAAAGGTAAACATTAATTTTGCTTGTATTATGCAGAAAAATGCCCTCCTCTGGTGACATGTGCAGTATTTGTAGGCATCTTATTAGACTGTAGGCAGCTGAGCTATCTTCACGCCCAGCCTAGGCGCCAAACAGAGGGTCTATGTGCCAAGATCCATCTCTGGGTAAAGGAAACTTAAAAACCAAATTCGATTCTCCCTCCTTCGCCCTGAAAAAGGAACTTGAGTATTCTCAACAGGTGAAACAGAAGCCCTGGGACCCCACTGGCACCTCTAGAATCCAGGGATTCAATTTCCCCAGGAAGATCCTGAATATAAGGCACATATGTCAAAATATTGAACAACCCATGTGGCTGACTGAATAGCCCAGAGCCTACCACTTTTATTTTAATTATGTTCATAAATCAAATGTTATAACCCACCGAATCTTTTCTGAAACAGAACCAGACTCCAAGATTTATTTTTAAGTAATGAGGTAAGGCCCAGGATGTTTTCTGGGTGATCGTTTTATGCCTTGGTTGGTGTTGGAAGGCACAAGGCCAGATGACACCTTCTACCCAAGTGCAGTCACTGCCCAGAAATGTATCACTCAGAGTGGCTTCATGTCATTATAAAATGGAACTGCTATATAAAAATAAGAAGAATAGTTCGTTCTGGGCACTCATGGAACATTAGTTATAGAGATGGCATCACCAACAGCCAATCAATTAGGTTGAGGGATCTGAGGTTTTCATAATACACTGTAATTAAAAAAAAAAACCTGTGAAAGATTTTTAACAAGACTGCTAGAGCAGACAAAATTTGTCCATTTGTCAAAGTCACACAGAGGGTTAAATACCAGGAGGCTTTAGGTCACACTACAGCGGCAACCAATTAAAAAAATAATATTAGAAAGACATTCTGATTTGATGAGACTCTCTTTAAATGGACTTTGCTCGCTCTATAAAGGGAAAAATATATATAAAAGGAAACTCTTAAAGAGGTTAGAATGGCTTGCTGGCAGATTTCAATTGAGTTCATGCCAGCCTGACCTTGCACTACATTCTATGATCTTTTCAGAAGATGAAATTCAAGACGCTGGAAACTGTAATGTCACTTTCCTATGTAAATGAAAAGTCACAGTCTTCCTCACACTAACACATCAGGTCTTTAATAAAATTTCTTATTGAAAAAGGACTTTGTGGTTTCCTTTTGCCTGGGGTGTCACCCTTCCCAGGTACCAGAGAGGAGGAGAACTGAAGCAAGAGGGAAGGCGCCCTGATACTCCGGCAGGGGGAGACCTGTCATTCCAGGTGCTCCTGACACTTTCCCTCCCTGGGAATTTCTCCGTCAGGGGATGTGGGCATCAAATGTTCTTTGAGGTGCTGACAGCATGCCGGCCCAAGGACCTGAGGGCAAATCTGCTCCTGCAGGTGCCCGTGGGACACAGGCTCTTCAGTGGCCCTTACTTCGATGTCACCCAATATTCTGAAACACCAGTTAGAGTGAGACTGGATGCCTGTGGACCAAGTGCTAATTGTTTCAGGCCTACTGGGGAGAAGGCAGGGCAGTGGGGCTCCAGATGTATCAGAACGGCCGGGAGATGATTTGGGTCAGTGCCTGTGCATTCGGCTGCGGAAGCACTGACTGAAAGTCTTTGTCCATCAGTGGAGGATTACTGCAGTTTGGAGGAGCACGACAATGCAGAGATAACCCTGAGATCTGGTGAGTAGGAGGGGCTCTTGAAGCTGAAAGCAAGAATCAACCCCTATAACATGGCCACCTAAATGGCGGGGAGAGAGGACCGCTTTGCTCTGAAGGACGGTGATGTCTCGTCCCACGAGGTGGTTGGGGCGGGTTAGAGAACAGAGTCACAGCGAGCTCTCAGAGGAGTTAACGAGAACGTCTTGCAAAAGGTTTGCTTTCTATTGTCATCATTCATTCATGAACAATTTTCACTGCCACTTATTTTGTTTGTTCGCAAGGTGCAGGACCTCCTGCTGGAGCATCTGTTGTATAAATCGGAGCACTTAAGCCGCACTTGGAGAGGAGGGCTGAGCCATTGTGAGCGGAATGAGCCAAATCTGGGGGGGCCGGCTGTGGGACCAGAGAGCCTGCGCCACTTTCCACAGTCAAATGCAATTTCCTCTTGCTGCAACTTGTAAGTAGTTTCGTGGATATTGAAATGACTGTTTATCCAACAGAATCAAATTTTATTCTGTGATGTTGTGGCAGAAAGTTGTTTCCAGTGCCTTTTAAGTGGGGTGCACACTCACTATCACACAGCACTCTTCCATATCGTTGAAAAATCCTCAAAATTTGAAAGTGGATGCTGGGTGAGAAAGCCTTCATGG